TCTTAATTTCTGTAACCACCAGCATTTTCCAGTCTAACTCAGGCATAATTTCTATCCTTTATCAAAGTCTGCCAGCCTGCGTTCATGGGACTCTGCACCACAGTTAAAACTCTGTGTCCAGGAGGAATGTGGCATTAAAAGGAAAATGACACTTTCTGCTGCCCCCCAGGCTGCTCTGTGAGGACAGTGAGCATGGTTTTCTAAAAAGATTGATGAGCTTCCTGTAAGTGAACTTTTAATTTCCCAGCATTTGTGGCTAATGATGGGATTTGGCTTCAGTCTTATTGCAGGTCCCATGATCAAGGCTGGGTGACACTGTCCTTTCCGATGCAGGTCAGTGATCAAAATCTGTATTTCATTTGGCATTTGTCCAAGATCAGGATCACCGAGCTGCATTGGCTCAATCAGCAGAGGTGTTTAGGAAGGGAAATGGGCTATTTTGGGCTTTGTGGAATCATAATGTGTACTTCTGGGGCAGAGAAATCGTAGTGGAAAGAGCCGTTATAGAGTGATCCAGAGCAAACTGGAGTCACAGAGAAGTTCCAACGATGTCATAGAATCATAGAAGATTAGGAATGGAAGACCCCAAAGGAGGTCATCTAGTCCATTTGTTCTCAAACTGTTCCATAGGCCTGCTTCGGGAAAGCCACTAGCGGGCCTGCACCCATTTGTTTCCCTAAGGTTCCATGGCCGCCGAGCGTTGCGGCTCCTATTGGCTCCCATTTGCCGTTTGTAGCCAAGAGGAGCCACGGAAACCCCCAGAAGGACTAGAATCCAAGCAGGGCTGCTTATCTCATGGTCAACTAATTTCTCTCTCTAGTCTAATTGATTGGCAAGTGGGTGCACGTTTGAACAAGGAGACTAGCTGGCGAAAGCAAAGGACAACATGTGACTCAGGAGCAGCAAGTGAACATCTGTGTTCAAATCATTAGCAAGACTTGTTCCTGTGACTGTTGCTTCTTCCAAGAAACTGCGCCCTCTGGGTATCATTGGGTTCAAATGACTGTTAATATCCCATAACTTTCAAAGCACCTGTCATCTTAACTCAGACAAGGTGTTGGGGAGCTAGGAGCATTTCTGCAGTGTCCATCAACACCATCTTCTAACAATTCCCATCTTGTTTGAGTGAAGCCCATTGGAAGTCAAGGGAATGCTGCTCTTTCCAAAGCACAGGACTGAGAGTCAAGGGGTTCTGTTCTGGGATCTGCCATAGACTTCTGATGTTGCCAACTCTCAAGATTGTATCAACCCTTATAACATTTGTTGTTTCTCATAATGCCCCAGCTCCTGGAGTCCAGTGATTATGTGAGTTTTTTAAATTGAAAGCTACATTTCTAGTCCTCCGATTGTAGAGAAGATCCAGAAAATTGTGCCCCTTGTGGACTTTTGAGCCAGTCTCATCACCTTTTGAGCCTTGACTTACAAATTTTTAAATGCAATACTGTTCTTGGGCAAGTCATTCAATCTCTGTTCTCCCCACATGTGCCTCCCAGGAGTGTAGTGAAAATTAATCAATTGGTTGAGATGCCTGAGATCCTGAGGTAGGAAGCACAATAGAAGGACAAAATGTTTTCTTTATATTTATCACTTCTGTGACAATACTTTAAAAGCATCCTGTGCAACCCATTGCTGTTGCTGCTTACCAGCAACGAAAACCAAACTCAAGGCAAGCTGGCACCATTGTAGGATGCGAGGCATGGACTCTGACCCATTTCAATCATTAACCCTGCAAGCTGTATCTTTATCCAAAACCCAGTACTCCAGAGATAAAGAGCGGGGGCTTCTTTTAGGACTGACACATTTGACCAGATGTCACTAAAAGTCATACTGAGACTGGACTTAGGTGAAATACAAAGAACTGTGCTATAAACTAAAATATTCATAGTTCAGTATAACATTTGGAGGTGGGTATTAAAACTTAACAAAGAGGTAAACCTGTGGCTCAATAACACCCATAGCGAATTTAACATCTCAATGTGCAGCAGTCAAAAAAGTGAAAAGAACATTAGGAACCATCAAGAAGGGGATAGATAATGAGACAAAATATCATAATACCACTATATAAATCCATGGTACCTTGAATACAGCGTGCAGTTCTGGTCACCGCAGTAGAACTGGAATTGGATGAAGTATAGAGAAAGGAAACAAAAAAATGATAGGAGCATGAAACAGCTTCTGTATAAAACATTAAAAAGATGGGGACTGTTCAGCTTTGAAAAGAGGCAATTAGGAGAGGACATCATAGGAGTCTGTAAAATCATGAATTGTATAAAAACCTGAATAAGAAATTAGTATTCACTTCACATAATCCATGAACCAGAGGTCGCCTGATGAAATCAATAGGCAGCAGATGTAAAAGTAACTAAAGGAAGTATTTCTTGCCACAGTGCCATCAACCTGAGAACTTGTTGCCAGGGAATGCTGTTAAGGCCAGAAGAATTTGGCCTTGTGTGATGTAGCTCTGAGTGCTTAAGCCCCAGTGTAGACACCACCAGGTACCTGAAAGAATTCTTCTGTTGATCTAGCTACTGCCTTTTAGGGTTATGGGTTGCCTTCGGTGCCAACAGAGCCCTTCCTGTCAATGTAGGTAGTGTCTACACCAGGCCTGGGCAAAATATCTCCATGGGCTGGATCTGGCTCACCAAGCCACTGGATCTGGCCCACAGATGCAGCCAGAGAGTCTCAGGCAGACTCCCTGCCTATCTCCCTACACACTGCTGAGAAAAGCAGCAGTTGCAGGGCTCTGTTTGAACACCTGTGAGCCCAGAGGAGGGGGGGCAGGAGGCTTCAGGCGCTGTTCCTGCCCCCTGCACAATCCTATTGGCTAATTTCCGGCCAATGGGAGCTGCCTGTTGTCAACAAGCAGCTTGCAAAGCACCCTCCCCTCCCAGAGCCTGCACCACAAACCTCTGCCCCATGTCACAACCCAAACCCACTGCCCACCTGCTACACTTATATCCCCTCCCAGATCCCACACCGTGATCTCCTGCCCTAGGTCACAGCTCCCTCCTGTCCTAGGTCACAACTCAGACCCTCTGCCCCACTCCTGCCCCCACATTCTCTCCCAGATCCTGCACCCCAAACCCCTGCCCCAGGTCACAGCCCAATCCCCTCCTGGATCCTGCTCCCCAATCCCCTGCCCCAGATCACAACCAAACCCCCTGTACCTCCTCCTGCACCCCAGTCCCCTGCCCCATCCCGCTGGTGTCCTATATCCTATACATCTGTGTATGTTGGGTTTCCCTATCTGCAAAGTGGGGTAAATTCATACCTTGGGATTTGTAAAGCACTCTTGAGGGTATGTCGACACTACCCTCCTAGTTCGAACTAGGAGGGTAATGTAGGCATACCGCACTTGCAAATGAAGCCCGGGATTTGAATTTCCCGGGCTTCATTTGCATAAGCGGGGCGCCGCCATTTTTAGAACCCCGCTGGTTCGAACCCTGTGCAGCGCGGCTACACGGGGCACGAACTAGGTAGTTCGAACTAGGCTTCCTAGTTCGAACTACCGTTACTCCTC